CTCCTCCCCCACCCAGCAACAGCAGCTCACCTTCCATGGGCACACGCGACTCTGCAAAGGAGGTGGGCAGGCAGAGAATTTTTTGTGCGTGGCCATGCAGGTGCACACCTTAGGGTGGAACTATGCTCTGCACTCTCCCTCCTGGCCACACACCCTACCTTCCACTCAGACCTTGCACCCTCACTCCCTCGTATCCCCCACCTCCTGCTCAGATCCTGCACCCCCATCCCACTCACTGGTAGCCCTGTCCCACACACTGAACCCCTCATTTTTGTCCCCACCCCGGACACTGAGGGGTTTCACAAAATCCACTAACCCAGGAATCCCAGAAGAGTGAATCCAGCCCATGAAAACCCTGAACCTCAGTCCTCCCTGTCCTTCCCCCTGGGCCCATGGGGCTGGAGTGCCAGGGGAGTGAGGTGTCTCAGTTGGGACCCACATCTTTTGCTTCTCATCTATGGTCCCCAACTGATTTTTTTTTTCTGTGTGTCAGGAGCCCCCGATCCAAAAAAGGCTCCCCACCCCTGCCATAAATAAGTAAACATTGAAACCTTTTGTATTGGACATACATTTTACTTAATTTAAAATGAAGTTTGATAACTAAAGTTAAAGTGCTTAATCAGTATAATAATTTAATACTTCCTTTCTTGCTGGTTAAATTAAAACCGTTCTCCCCAGCTGCAGCACTAGCAAAATGGCTCGGGAGTAATTATGTAATTAATGGTCAGTTTCCATTAGCAATTGGTGGCCCACAGAAAAGTTTGTATTGAGCCAGGTGGGCCATGGGCTAAAAAGTTTGAGAACCACTGGTCTAGAGCCAACAAACACCTAGGAATGTAAGTCTTTGGGACAACGTAGTATTCTTGTTTGCAGAAATGTGTCCCTCTCTCCCATCTGTACTCTTTGCAAACACTACTTTGGCACTAAAAGGGCAATTCATGGAATAAATTAATGTTAAAAATAGCAACACAATAAAACAATGCAAGAAGAGTTCTCTCAAAATGTGAAACTTGGTAGTTAAATGTGTGTTATTTCTTTTTCACAATATGTTTATTCATAGACTCATAGAATACTAGGACTGGAAGGGACCTCAAGAGGTCATCGAGTCCAGTCCCCTGCCCTCACAGCGGGACCCAGTACTGTCTAGACCATCCCTGACAGACATTTATCTAACCTACTCTTAAATATCTCCACAGATGGAGATTCCACAACCTCCCTGGGCAATTTATTCCAGTGTTTAACCACCCTGACTTTTAGGAACTTTTTCCTAATGTCCAACCTAAACCTCTCTTGCTTCAGTTTAAGCCCATTGCTTCTTGCTCTATCTTCAGAGGCCAGGAAGAACAATTTTTCTCCCTACCCCTTGTGACACCCTTCTAGATACCTGAAAACTGCTATCATGTCCATCCCTCTCAATCTTCTCTTTTCCAAACTAAAGAAGCCCAATTCTTTCAGTCTTCCTTCATAGGTCATGTTCTCTAGACTTTTAATCATTCTTGTTGTTCTTCTCTGGACCATCTTCAATTTCTCCACATCTTTCTTAAAATGTAGCACCCAGAACTGGATACAATACTCCCAACTGAGGCCTAATCAGCACAGAGTAGAGTGGAAGAATGACTCTTCGTGTCTTGTTCACAACACGCCCTGTTAATGCATCCCAGAATCATATTGGCTTTTTTTGCAACAGCGTCACACTGTTGACTCATATTTAGCTTGTGGTCCACTATAACCCCTAGATCCCTTTCTGCCGTACTCATTCCTAGACTGTCGCTTCCCATTCTGTATGTGTGAAACTGATTGTTCCTTCCTAAGTGGAGCACTTTGTATTTGTCCTTATTAAACCATCCTGTTTACCTTAGTCCATTTCTCCAATTTGTCCAGATCATTTTGAATTATGATCCTATCCTCCAAAGCAGTTGCAACCCCTCCAAGCTTGGTATCATCTGCAAACTTAATAAGCGTACTCTCTATGCTGATATCTAAATCGTTGATGAAAATATTGAACAGAATCAGTCCCAAAACAGACCCCTGCGGAACCCCACTTGTTACTCCTTTCCAGCAGGATAGTGAACCATTAATAACTACTCTCTGGGAATGGTTATCCAACCAGTTATACACCCACCTTATAGTAGCCCCATCTAAGTTGTATTTGCCTAATTTATTGATAAGAATATCACGCGAGACCGTATCAAATGCCTTACTAAAGTCTAGGTATACCACATCCACCGCTTCTCCCTTATCCACAATACTCGTTATCCTATCAAAGAAAGCTATTAGATTGGTTTGACATGATTTGTTCTTTACAAATCCATGCTGGCTGTTTCCTGTCACCTTATTGTGAATATAAAGTGTCTATTCAGTATTTGAGAATCCTTCCTGAGAAGTAACATGCTACATCCTAGATTGTAGAGATCCTGCATCCTGAAAATACATACAGTAGGGGGAAGGATGGTCTTCTAGTGAGAACAAGAGTAGGCCCACTTTGGGTAGGGCTCAAGTGGCATCAGAAACTCTGAGCTGAATTTTCTCCTTATGTGAACATGGTTCCCATTGGCCATAATACAAACCAGTATGACTGAGATGACCCGATTCTCCAAAGCATGCAGCTGAACATTTGGTTCTGTGAACAGCATCTGAGCTTACAAAATGAATACAGATGTGAATTCACTTCAGTTGTGTCTGCTGCTGGGGTGTGTGTGTGTGTGTGTGTGTGTGTGTGTGTGTGTACATACACCTACACACTAGCACATGGACATTTATCTATACAGCATATGAACGGACGATATCCATGTGTTAAATTCATCTATTTATGCACCTTCAACAATCTCACTAGCCCTTTTGGTCCTCTAGTCTAGCTTATCACTTGCAGAAACTTTTTCTAGCATTCTGAATCTCTGGGCAACTTAAAAAAGCACCAGGAGTTAACTTGAAACAAAAAGTTTCCTTTCTTCCACAGTTGCAGAAGTTTCTGCCCAAAATTTGTGGTCCAGATCCCAGGATTGGTAGTATTTATTCCTTCTCCAGATTTATGGTCTGGAGAACTGGAAATGGAAGCTATTATACCTTTGGAAAAGGGGTACCTACTCATAAGAGCTTCTGTTATAACATGATGAGCCAAGTACTGTTTGAAATCCATGGGGGACAGTATAACTGGCTCTGATACAAAGATGTCCATCTGCTTTGACTATAGAATAATATCAAGGTCACTTTCAGAGTTGACAGCAGGGGCGGATATAGGGCAGGGCGGATATAGGGCAGAGCGAACGGGGCGGCCGCCCCGGGCCCCGCGCTTAAAAAAGCCCCGCGCATGCGCCGTGGCGCCACTGCGCATGCGCATGGTGTCACGGCGCATGCACCGTGGCAAAGGGGAGCCCCGTGGAGTTATGCTGCCCGGGGCCCCGCAAAACAGTCATCTGCCCCTGGTTGACGGAGAAATACCTTGAGTTTCACATCCCATGATTTGCTTTGTTTCTGCACCTTTTTTTCTTTGGTAGCTGAATACAAATGACATTCACCATGTTCCTCTCCAAATGACAAGTAAGGGAAGAGGGATAATAATCTTGCCAGAAAAATCTCACATCTCCTCCTTGTTTCTGTTAGAAACGTCCAGAAAGAAGATCGCACTCCCATGGCTGAGGAATACAATGAATACAAGCAGATTAAGGCAAAGCTGAGGCTGCTGGAAGTCCTGATCAGTAAAAGAGATATTAGTTCCAAGATTATGTAATGGAGGTGATTGACTTCACAGAGAGGCTAAGAAGAGACCGAGACAACCAAATGAATGCATGAAGAATGCAGCACGAGCCCTACAATGAGGGGCTTAGCAGCTCCCCGAGAACTGAAAGTCCAATTTTAGAGGTGGGAGGGTGCGGAAGGTTAGTTTATATCACTCTCTGCCCTTGGCGTTGTCCATTGACCACCAGGCCAGTCACCTAGACTGGAGTTGCCAGCAAGAGAGAAGTAGTGCGAGGCTCAGAGGCTGCCCTGAAGGTGCCCTTTGATTTGCTTGCCAATCCCGCCATGTTTAGAGGAGCAGAGTCGGATTGTCTTTTCCCAGAGAATATAGTGAGAGGCTGGCTTGTATGAATAGCCGTGAAGAACATTCCCCCTCATTCTCAACGGAGTGCCTTGTCCTGCAAAGCATGTCGGGAAGCACCGAGGCTGTTCTCTCCATGCGACAGCGAGCTCAGGCTCTCGGATTACCTGTGGGTTTGGTGGTTTGGAATTGGTCTTTTCAGTTACCACATGGTGTGTTAGAGGCTGGCTGTTAATCAGAGCCCTGCCCGCTATGTTGGCCTTCAGTGGGACTCTTCCCCGTGTTTGATTTTCTTACCAAGGTGTTTTCTAGCTGTCACTTTGCTTGGGTAGATGGTAGTTGCCTCTGACCAGACACACACTATTAAAGGAAGTTCAGCATTACAGTTAGGTGCATCTTAGCTGGTACTTTGAATTGTGACACTAGTACTGTGATTGGGCATTTGGATCAGATTAGAAGTGCTGATGGCAGCACTCTCAACTTTATTAGGTTTTAGTAGCTGAGATGTTCAGGTTTCTAATAAACAGATTGAATATCTGCCCATGTCAACATAGACATACTCCTGATCTTTCAAGGTCTAATATTGACATGAAATAATGAGCTGGACAGTCCATATTGCATGGCCCATAAGCTTTGTTCTTTTGTGCACTGAAATGGTAAAACCAAATTAGGGATGTTAAACTGCATGTAATCAGCTAATCGAGTAGTTGATAGAATTTCCATGGACTACTCAATTGGTTGATAAGGGGGGAAACTGCAGAGCCACAGCAGGGTTAGCGCCTGGCCCGAGGAGCTAACCCTACTGCAGCTCTGCCTTTTAAATGTATTAAGAGCTGCCAGGCTCTTAATACATTTAAAAAGCAGGGGGGCTGGAGGCGTGAGAGCTGGGCGCGAACTGGAACAGCTGATTCCCGGCTCACTCCTGGTCCCTCTCCAGCTGCACCTTTGCTTTTTAAATGCATTAAGACCCTGACAGCTTTTAATACATGTTAAAAAGCAGAGGTGCAGCGTCTGGGACTGGGCATGAACCTAGAATCAGCCGATTCCCAGCTTGCGCCCAGTCCCCTGCATCCCCTCCCCTCCCCGACAGCTGGGTTCCCCCCAGCACTTTTAAGCCAGCTCCCACCAGCTCCTGCTCCCCGCCCTTGCTGCCCCTCTCTCATAGAGGCAGCATGGGGAAGGGTCGGGGGGAAGACTAGTCAAGCATAAGGTAGTTGAGCAGTGACTGATCAGCTAGTCACTTACGTCCCTAGACCAAATGGACTGCAGCACCAAGTGTGAATTGTAGTGATGGGGATATAGAACACAGTGAACTCGTGGTCTTTTCTTCCTGATCATAGCTGTACATATTAATATATTGGAGTAGAGAGGATGCTTCAGGAAATCAAAAACTTTGAGACAGATTCTGCCCTTGGAAGTGTGTGAGTCTCAGTCCAGAAGTGGAACGTGTAACACTCAAATCAACGTGAACAATGTTCAGAAAGGAAAACGTGAATGAATTATAGACAGGGATGCTTATATTAGACATTTGCTATTCTGAGGGGAAATGAGCTCAAAAACGGGCAAAGTTCTTATTTCTGTTGTGCTGAGCCATTGGGCTCCTTTATTCCTTGGATCACCCTCAAGCCTGAATGTGCAGCTTCACACAGCCCAGGGAGAGGCCCTTAGTTGGAACTAGTGCAGACTCCTTGGGTGGATTCATCCCTGCTGCGTACTAGTGGAGCCAACCAGTGTACTTCCTCCGGCACGCTGATCCCATTGGAGCCAGTGGATATTGAGTGCAGGGATTGCACTTGACCATGTGTGGGTCAGAAGGCCTGGGAAGCCTGCCTGTACAGAGAGCTCAGTGTGGAGCCAGCCCCATGCCTACACACAAGGACAGTCTGGCTCCAAGATACTTGACAGTTCATATTCCTCAAGCACATTTTCCCCGCATTGCTGTAGTTTTCCGTCCAATGGTTTCATGTCCATGTGCAGAATGACTTGTGTTTTATGCGCCAATATGGAGGTGATGTATCACATGGCAAACGTCTTTCTGCAGATGGACAGTGTGTGGCAGGGGAAGGGCTGAGGGGTTATGTTGTGGGAGGGGGCTCAGGCCTGGGGGTTTGGGGTGCAGAGTGAGGGCTCTGGGGTGAGGCTGAGGGAGAAGGGATTTGGGTACAGGCTTTCCTGGGGGAGAGAGGACTCCCTCGCCCAGCCTTCTCCCCACTGCAGCTTGGGACAATGTGAGAGGCCTCTCCACAGGTGTTGTAGCTCCAGGCATGGCCAGGCTGGATGGGGGCCAACAAAGGGGCACCAGTCCCCAACCTCAGCAGCTCTGGGGCAGCTTCCTGTTAAGCCCTGGGAGAGAGGCACCTCAGCCTGTGAGCCCCAGTGCGGAGCTGCAGCAGCCAAGGGAGAGATAAAACCGGTTAAGTGCTGTCTTTTTTCTTTTGCTAGTCATCAGATTCATTGCACTTAGGGAGATTTTCCAGGTTGTTCTTCATCAATCACATAATTATCTTCTCCACCCAGAGCAATAACGACGTAGGAGAGATAGAAGCCTGTTGTTTGCAAAGGTGGCCTTTAGTTTTTGGGTGCTCAGCCGTGGGCCTGAGTTTTCAGGCTTCCATTGTTCTGGGAGTTTTAGGCACTCAGCATCTCTGAGAACCAGGCCCCAGATGTGTCTCTATGTAGGCACACAAATGTAGAGGCTACTTTTGAAAATGGGGGACCAACTGGCTGACCACAGGATGTCTAAGGGCTCCAGCAAATGACAGTGGTGCCATTGTGCTTCACACCAGCCATCTGCTAGTTGAGAGGGCACGTGGGACGGTTGGGTGTGTCGGGCATAACTCTTTAACATGGCAGTAGTGTTTAGTAGCAGAAATGATAGGGCTAAAAATGGCTGCTGGATTCCTGAAAAATCAGTTCTGCTGGTTGCCTTTGTACTGGAGGCTTCAGTTAAGTGAAGTGCTGAAATTTTAGTCCTGCATCTAATCCTGTTGAAATAAGTACATGCTTGGGATTCAAGCTTGTGGCTATTGTTTCTGTGAGTAGAGATGGACTTAAGCACAAACATTTTGCTGAATCAGGGCCTTATTTCCTTAATACCTAAATTACTGTGCTCTTGATTAGTCACCAGTGTCCAGAAGCCTTTATGCAAAACTCCTGAAATCACAAAGAATACATTTTGTTGTTTAAAAGCCTACTTTAATTGTGTACTGATAATGAACTGTTTTGTTGCCTCTGACAATTCTTGACCAATAGCAAAGGATTTTGTTTTTAAATTGCTAAGACTAAGGTTTTCTGACTGCCTCGCTACTGCTGTTTACACATGGCATTGGTATGATTTCAATTGCCTTTATATAAATTGTAAGTATGATGGTGCACTTTATAGAGATTATATTTTTAAAGTTTGAAAGTTAATAAAACCTCTATAGTCAAAATAGTACTCTAAATAGCCTTGTCTAGGTCTCTGTTGTTAAAAATAGGGTTCCCATATTTGAACCTTCAAAAAAGAGGACACACGCCGGTCAGCAACACCTCTAACCCCTTCTGCGGCCTGTTGCATGGGTGCCCTGTAAGCCTGAGTTTTAGGAATCAGAGGTCAGGAGCAAACCCAGCTCACAGGCCAGGGACTCGGGTCACAGTGTGCAATGCATTGTGGGTATGCCAATTAGCACCCTGGGGAATGCCTGAGCATGTGGAAGAGCCGGGATCTCCCGGCTGCAGCCCCTAGAATGCAGCTCGGGGGCTCGGCTGGGTTCTGTGCTTCCCTCGGGCGGGGCAGGCGGGCTGCTCCGAGGTTCTATATAAACAGATCTAAATTTGTTTGGAAAAGAATGAGCAGGGCAAAACCCGGATATTTTTAGATATTTAAAAAACCCTGCCAGACGGAGATTTAAGGACCAAAAAGGAGGACATGTCCGGGGAAAAAAATGAATGTATGGCAACCCTATTAAAAAGCTGTTCGTTAAACAAAACCACAAAATGAATATCCCCTGTTCCAGCTTAATTCCATGAAGTCTCTGTACCCCTGCAAACTGATTGAAAAGAATTTTAATAAAATGTACTGCGATTCAGAAATTATCCAGGTACTATTTAAGGACCAAAAAGGAGGACATGTCCGGGGAAAAAAATGAATGTATGGCAACCCTATTAAAAAGCTGTTCGTTAAACAAAACCACAAAATGAATATCCCCTGTTCCAGCTTAATTCCATGAAGTCTCTGTACCCCTGCAAACTGATTGAAAAGAATTTTAATAAAATGTACTGCGATTCAGAAATTATCCAGGTACTGATAAACCCCTGCTATCTTTCCCCCCCCCCCCCAAACAAAAAAGACAACAA